TTCTTTGCAATTAAATTATCCTTTTACTTGCATTGTTCTTCAAAAATTTTTTTTTGATTTCTGAAATGCACCAACTATGAGTAAACTGTTGTATTATTTTCAAGTTGTTATTGCATAATATTTGAGATGAGGAAATGAGGTTGTGCATAATCTATCCTTCCCCTTCTGTTCTCTCAATACCTCAGCACAGGTTCTTTCATTCTGTTACAGCAATATATTTCAAATTGTAATTTTTTTTTTTCCTTTTTGTCTTTTTTTTCGTGACCGGCAACGGATCGCAACCCTCAGTGTCGTGCCCGTACCGGACCGGGACCGGCAACAGGATCGCAACCCTTGGTGCTGCACCCGCCCCTCGCTCAGCCAGTGAGCGGGAACCGGTCTGCATGTGGGATCCGAACCCTTGGCGGGAGCACAGCCGCGCTCCCAAGCGGCGCACTGTAGCAGTGCGCCGCCCGGCCCCTCAAATTGTAATTTTTATAGGATTTTTCTACAAGCCATTAAAACCTATGTATGACATGTCAGGAAGGATTGACAGTGTATAATTAAGTAGTCTCCTGTAATAAAGTTATAGGATTCACTTCTGGATTATGAGAGACAAAAATGATTCCCTCCCCCATCTTTATTTTTTCCACAGGATGGTCTCTTTCCATGATTCTTGAATAGGTGGCTCAGGAAGTTTCCATATTATAGCATTATATATTATATATGTTATTTTAAAAAATCACTTTTCTATTTCTTGCCAAGATCTAATTTTTAAAGTTTGGCTTGTGAAATCTGTCTCATAGATTTGTTTGGCCTCTTCTGTTAACTTTGTTCATAGAATAGAGAATCTGGTTAGTTGATAGACGTGGTGAATTACCCCTGGTCACGTAAGGAAGTAGAAGAGGCAAAGATAAGATCGGCAGTTTATTTTTCTAGTGACTAAACTTCACAGTTCTTTTGGGCAATTTGGTAAGTATGTGGTTGTCTGTGCCCAGTCTAAGGAGACCATTTCTGAAACCTCAACATAGAGAGAAAAACAATTTGAGCAATGACAGTAAATAATTCGGGCTCCCAGAGATTTGAAGATAAAGATCTAATCGTGAGGAGGACTTTTGTGGGTCCTTTTGCCTTATTTCTCTGAGAAATAGATGCTGTTACAGGAACCCACTTAAAGCCACATCCCATTAAATGAGGAACCAGTTTTGGCTAGATCTTCCTGTAATTTTTTTGGCAGGTATGTTGTGAGGATTAATCCAGTGTGGTTGTTTGCCACTTTAGGTAAATGGTGCTCTGTGAATACTCAGTCATGTTATTTTGTAGCTTCAATCATGATTTGAACCATTCCCTTCCTTTATAAATGACTGAACAATAGAGTCCTTCATGGTAAGGGAGTAAGCTGATAATTTAGTCTGCTCCAAGGGTTTGCGGTCATATCCCAGTCATAGGCTGCTGTCAGTTTCCTTCATCATCCCTTATATTTGGATTACAGTTTTTTTCTTCAAAGAAGCACAAAGCAGTGTATGGACATCTGCCTTCTTTAAGGATGGAAGGAAAATAACGTGGCTTTTGTATGTTTGTTTGTTTAACCTACTGTTTAAATATCTTCTAAGGTGCTATTCTCTCTTTTTTTCTTTGTGTTGCTTCATGGGTTCTTATCATACCATGTGGAGACCAGCCTTGTCTAGAAAGGGAATTTAATTCAGAACAGTTTAAAAGTCCTTTCAGAATTTTTCTTTGGCTGCTGAAATCTTTACATGTGGTTGCATTACTTTATGAGTTTTATGCATTAGGCTCTTAATTCTGCTATGAAATGTGAACTTACGAAGTACTTAGTGTTTCCCATGTTACCTGTTATTTTGGGCTACTTGGGAGAACATCTTAGGTCTCTGCAGCTCCTGAAATGGACACTGGTGCTTCAAGAGGGAATGTTACCTGTTATTTTGGGCTACTTGGGAGAACATCTTAGGTCTCTGCAGCTCCTGAAATGGACACTGGTGCTTCAAGAGGGAAGGTTGAATGTCCTTTTTAAAAAAAAAAAAAAAAAAAAATCCGGAGGCCAAATCCTGAATCTGAATGTTCTACTGTATCACTACATCATGGTTCTAAAGGGGAGCTATAAGAAGACCCATAGGGAATGAACTATTAATAAAGACTATTATTTAATTGCACATCTCAAGACTTTGATGGGGCAGTTCCATTCCTTTGACTCCAGTGTTGGACTATTAACTACTGCATCTCAATGTCTATTTTTGTTTTTTTGTAGGAAGGCCTGCACTGTTGGGCCATGTACAGTGTAACTCTTAGTATCTTTACCACATCATAGTTAATAAATTTCTTTGCACCTACTGACTACCTTTTGTTGTATATCGACGTATAAGATGGGAATTGTGTGAAAGAGAGGGGGGGTTGTGGTTTTCAGCATCAAGCAACCAGTCATTCTTGAGGTAGCTGTACCCCAGCAAGAACCTGCATAGATTCAGTGGTGTGCTGGAGCCAGCTCAAACAGAAAGAGCTGATTATTAAACTTTTAGGGATTTTGCAAGTGGTTGTTAAACTGTTGGTGGCTTGAAATAGACCTTGGTGGGAATATATATACTATGGAAATTGCTGGCTTACCAACACACCACTTCTCAAGGACCATACAGCTTAGTCCTTGAGGAGAACAAACATTCAACAGCTTTTCAATTGGTACAGGACATGTTCCATAAAATGAGTATGCCCATGCCTAGGTCAAGCCAATCTAGCCAAGGTTGAAGGCATATACATCAAGAACACTTATTTTGAAGTGGTCACTTTAAGATCAAGAGATATCCTGAAGTGAAGAATGCTTGAGTTCTTATCTAGGATGTCCAAGTGACCAAGAGATTTTCTAGGGGAATATATTGCTGCCTGTATTCTGGAAATGCTGATATCACATGGTCAGAGGAAATCTACATGTCTCCGTGGTGAGTTGGAGGGCTGGGCAGGCATGTCTTTGGAAGCAGGGGTTGGGTGATTGCCTGCTATATTGTACCTCTGTGTTGAGAGAAAAAATTAGAGAGGTTGCTATATCAAAACATGTTTCATGTTAATCTTAAATTTATTGTATTGTGTTTGCATGAAGCTGATTTCTTTCTCAGCAAATGTTTGCCTGATGCGATTCAAGATCCTACCCTCAGAGATTTTGTAATCTAGAAGGGGAGATGACACCTGCGGAGATCTGGAATGTGGGGCTTACCTCAGTAAGTTGAATTTATTACCTCTTTTTAGACTAAAAGTGTAAACAAAAATTGGGTAATGGGCCAGATGACTGAAACGAGAACCTTGATTTAGAGGTTCCTGTTTGTGTCTCTGCAGCCACCTCAGAATGCACGCATTTGGTTTGCTTGGAGGCTGACCTAGTGTGCCGGCAGAAGTCTCTTCAGTCGGGCTCGGGAACTGCAGTTGTGGGAAATTTCAGTGCATTGCTTCTACTGGACACTCTTCATCGTGGGTGAGAAATTGTTTTGTATTTTTTAAGCTGTTATTTGAACTTTTTTATTCAGAAGAAGGCTGGTTCTGAAGGCTGGTTCTCTCTCGGAGGAAGGGTGGTTTAACAGGCAATCCTTTAGGGTTGCGAGGCCACAATTGCAGAACTCTCAGTCTCTGCAGGGGGACTGTCATAAGGTAGCCTAGTGGGTGTAGTTTTAATTTCTGTAGTTAACCTATGTTAAGGTCCTCAGAGAAAAGAGGAGTAAGGTTTGCTGGTAATGAAAGAAGAGTAAATGATGATGATGATGATGATAAGGGCTTCAGTTTTTAAGTTGCCTGTGGCTTTAAGTAGAGCTATGACTGGATGTCCTTGTGCTCATGGCAGATCTCTCCTTTCACCGTTTTTCTTTCTTTTTTTTAAGAGAATACTTTATTTTTAAA